GCTTCAGGTCCTCCTCAGTTTCAGCAAGCAGGGTTGTGTCATCTGCATAATGCAGATTGTTGATAAATCATCCACCAATCTTGACCCCACATCCCTCCTCATACAGCCCAGCCTCCCAGATAATCTGTTCTAAATAACAACTGTTAATTTCTTTTTACAACTGTTTCTTCTCCTTTGTGTTTCCAAATTTGAGGGCTTAACTTCAGTTGTCATATCTATCAGTCTATTCTAAGTGTGCTCTGCTGTATACAGAGTTTTCAGAGGTCAGTTATATATATTTCAGAAGTGGACGGCCAATCCCTCTTTCTACTCTGTCTTCTAACAGACAATAATTTTTACCTATTAGATGAAAGACACTTACCTCACAGAAATAACCAATACATTCACTGCTCACCCCAACCTCCAAGCACATGTGACTTGCCTCCAGTCATGAACATACCATGGACTTCCAGGAAAACACATCAGTCTTGGAAAGGGTTAAAAACAAGTCTCTCCATGTAGACTAGGATTTTGAAGCTCCACCTCACTTATTTTGGGCACACAGCCAGGGGAAATTGGTCCTTGGAGAAAGACATCATGCTCGGAAGGGTGGACGGACAGTGCAAGAGAGGAAGACTCCAGATGAGATGGATTGATGTAGTAACTGGGGCAAAGGGGGTTGGTGTGTTGGAATTAATGAGACTGGCTCAGGACAAGGAAGGGTTCATAGCTGCTGTACATAGTGTGATTACACATCACAAGCAACTCAGTGGCACATAACAACAATAACATACTATGATATGTTTGGAAGCAAGAATGGCACCCACTTCCTAAACAACATGCCTCTGGGAACTCTGTGAACTTTGATAAATATCAATAATTGCAGAGGGGATTCAGGCCTTTTGTTCTTAGGGTCACTTATGAGTCGTGCTGGGCTCAAAGACAATCAACAACAGCAACATATCTAGAGCCAAAGAGGAAGAAATTGAGAATGTTGACCAAATCTTTCAGTCTAAAACTGACAGAACATACAATCAAGATGTGTTAATGATATCTGGTGACTGGAATGCAAAAGTAGGAAA